AGTGGCCGCAGAAACTTTCAGAAAAACATTTGCCGCTCTAAGAAAATCGAATGAAATTTTTTCTATTTCCGAAAGAGACTGGCGGCCTTCCCCACGACCTTGGTTGATTGAAAATTGACGTTTCAAAGCGGATCTTGGTTGTTCAAAATAAAAATTAAAATGTACGTGCCCATGTGTGAAAAAAAAAATAAACAACCAAAGATGAATGGTTCAGGTTTGCATATCTGCCCAAAACAAATACACAACAGCGATGAAGCAGGCAAAATGTAAAAAAATCAAGAAAAACAATACGCGTCGGGTACGGTAGCATACTGGGCATCAAAGATTACGGTTAAAGTGAGAACAATGAGGAGTTATTAACATACACTGCTAGATGTTGACATTTTAACGATAAAAATGCCTCGCGAAACCCACAATTGGAAGACAATCAATTCCAAGTTGTTGCATCAACTATATTTTTTTTCTAAATACGTTTACGTTGCTCTGTTACATTTTCAAATATATTGTTACTCCTAACCTTTCACATATTTAGAGGCTCTACATCCGGTCACATGTTTAGACCCATTTGTTGCGAGACGAGCATATTTTCACTCAATATTTTTATCGTTTTACTCATTTGTGATTACATTTAAACTAAATCAGAATACTTTCACTCAAATATAGGTACTCCTTCAATAAATTCATCACGTAAATTCGTATTTGGTGCACATGTACCTAAATCAGAGTATATGTCCTCATTACTGAGGGAGTTTAACTGTATATTAATTTCGAGTAATTGGAATGGCGCCATGAAGATGGCACCAGTTACATATTGCTTCTGTAATCTCGACCAGAATAGGGATCCGTTAGATGCTGCAGAGAAGCGTGATCGTCAGGAGAACAGGCCTTAGCCGGAGGCGGCAGGTCTCAGCGGGCGGGTCTAAGCCAGGACAGGAGGAGGCCCCGCGAAGTAAATTAATTTGAACACAATATTTAGTAAATTAAAAACCAAGTCTGAGTAAAAAATGACTCAATAACAGTTAAATTTAAATCATATTAGAGAAAAAGTCAACTCTAAATTGGTTTTATATACTCACATTAGAGTCAAAAGTCGCTCAATTGATAGTTACTCACTCACTCATTTCTGATGCAATAGTTTCACTCAGTTGTACTCGTACTAATAGAGTGAGAATTTCACTAAATCGAATGTGGACAAAAATTGATATATTATTGAGTGAAATTGAGTGAAATTTGAGTGAAATAAGGTTTGGCTTAATGATAATATCGACTCGAAATTTGAAAAACGCTTTCGAGGGATAAATGTGCATTTTTTGGGGTGATCCGAATATTTCTAATTGCAACAGTGGCGTTAGCGTGAGAATGCCACAACCTTTTTTAATAAAAAAAAATGGTACGCCACTGACTTTTTCCTTTTTTGATATTTTGTATTTATATGTAAATGTATGTATATGTATATTATATGTATTTTTGTATATGTATTTTGTTGTATTTTTAATTTGCTGTCAATATTTCTAAATAAAATACAACAATCAAATTTCGAGTGAATATCTTCAAAAACTCTGAAATAATTAATAATAAATAAAAAATTCAAATTTAAACACCCTGTATCTAGGAAACGAAGCATATTTTTCTTCACAAAACCTTTTTTCACAAAATAACTTCGGCAACCACTCCAATCTAAAACATTTCGCACTTGTATATTCCTTTTCCAACACACAGGATGTTAAACCAGAAACTCTAATGCGATAAAAATATAATTTACATTAATTTTACTTTAATTTATACGTAGGCTAACCACTTGTGCATTCCAAAACATCTGACAACGATAACATCCGACAGCGATTGTTAGCAACATTATTCCCAAGATTGTAAACGCTCTGTATACGTTTTCTAAAACAACCTAGTTCAATTTAAGCCTTATATTATATCGAGTAGTAGACAGGGTCGCTAATACGTATGGAAACGGTCGATTTTCTTAAAATGTAACAATAGAGCAACAATTGTACAAATAATTTAATTATCACCAATAAGGCCGTCAGAACTGACCCGCGGGACATAGGCGTACGCATTATTTATTAAAAAGCAACAAGTTAAATTGTCTACAGCATCAACATCAACGGATAGGAAGGCAACAGTATACTAACGCGAACGTGAAAAGCATTTTGAGGCGGCGGCTCGCGCATGTCTCGGTTGAGCCGCTTGGCACGCCATTGAACTGCGGCTCTCCCTGACAGCCCTAATTATCCCTGTTTTTTTTGTGACCTCGATTTCTACTTGGACAATAGTCCCAATTTTTTTCCAGTAAATGTTAAATAGCAACACAACAAGCAAAATAGACTTAATTATAGTTCTAAGCTATTCCAGACACAGTCACCAAGGGCTCTCAAGTAACATTGCCTTGTTATGTCTTAAAATTGTTGTTAAAAATAAACAATTTACATTCTCCGTCAACATCGGGTCAGAAAAATATAGATACGGTTCGTCGTACAAACAAACTAGCGTAATCTAGCTGAATGCAGTATTTAAATATCGTCAAACAAACAATATATTTACTCTGGATCTGTAGTACTGTGCTTGCACTTGCAAAGGTATGCGACGACACCACCTTATCTGTTACCTACCACAAGGAACAGGTCACTGCTCTCGAATATAGGATGCGAGTTAAAATATCTAGATGAACTTTCTATCGCCACTAACGTATTGCACAAAGACGAAACGTTACGCAAAGACTGTGTTATTTGAAATGGTATTGTACGTTTCGAGAATTTAGAATTTAATAATTGGTAAAATTTACGCTGTAAAAAAAATTCACTTAAATTTCACTCAACTTCTATCCATTGAGTTGAGTTAAGTCAAACCTTACTTCACTCAAATTTCACTCAATAATGGATCAATTTCTGTCCACACCCGATTTAGTGAAATTTTCACTCTATTAGTATGAGTGCTACTAGTGAAACTATTGCATCAGAAATGAGCGAGTTTTATTCAAATCCGTGTATATAAAACCAATTTAGAGTTCACTTTTTCTCTAATACGATTTAAATTTAACTATTAGTCAGTCATTTTTTACTCAGACTTTGTTTTTAATTAGCTAAATATTGAGTGCAAAAATAAATCACTCATAAACGATTAATTAGGACAACAGTGTTGAAATTAATTCATACACTTCGCGGGGCCTCCTCCTGTCTTGGCTGAGACCTGCCAGCTGAGACCCGCCGGCTAAGACCTGTTCTCCTAACGATCACGCTTTTCTGGAGCATCTAACGGGCCCCTATCAACTGTGATCGAGATTACAGAAGCACCATGTAAGTCTCTATGATGAGGACATTTACTCTGATTTAGGTACAAGTGCACCAAATACGTGAAGAATTTATCTAAGAAGTACCTATATTTGAGTGAAAGTACTCAGTTTTAGTTTAAGTATAATCACAAATGAGTAAAATGATCGAGATGTCCAATACTGAGTGAAATGTACTCAATAATTTCACTCACACAGATTTTTTTACAGTGTAGTAGATAGGTATCGTATCAATTTGGAGTTAAATGATCAGTTCATCCAGATACAATTAACAATTCAAGAGGCATTAGCGATGATACAGTCGACCGACTACTCCGCGGACTACAGCCCTGATCAGCACTGAATTACACCCGTAACACCTAGTAATTTGACCGTATTGAACGCTTATGCCTAAGTAGTGACCAATTAGCATGTACCAGGCTTTGTATATCGACATGTACATTAAAATAGGCATACTGATGTGAACTACTAAGTTCGAAACCGGTATATGTCTGGTGGTTCCACTGACGATTGATCTTAGTCGTTTACCAGATATAGTGGGTGCAATGAAACGCTAATTGGTTATAGCATTTGTGTTTCATTTTCGTTTTCTTTAACTCGTGACGTGTTGTAATAGTTATAATTTGTTTTTTTCGCACTATACTACATAATTTCGATGTTCAAAATGGCCCTTGTTTATAGTAGCGATAAATTAATTGAGAGTTTAGTGTACGGGGAATGTCGACAAAATGCCGTCATAGCATCGCATTTTCCTTTGCGATTTAATCAGTTCTTATACAATCAATATTATTCGTTATCGCAATTAATTTTTAAAACAACTCATTTCATTATTTCACCTTTTATCTTTCATTTATGACAATTTAGAACCATATGAAATAATTTTATATACTGAGGGCCCAAACACGACAGTACGGCGGCCATGTTTGACGAACGGATGAAGTAATTGCTTTAAAATGTCTAAAATTGCCGCTAGAGACATTGTTAAGAGGGCTCTATGGCAAATAGCCAACCAGCAATACATTTTTATAGATTTTATTACACAGTTTGGACAAATATGAATTAATGCACAAATATCAGCCTTTCCTCAATTCTAACGCAGATTTTCTACCAAATGGAGATAGTTTGAAGCTTAAATAACTTTATGGTGTAAAGAAATTTGTAATAAACGATGCCGCTTGTTCAAAAACGGCTATAGAGCCCTCATAAGTCTATGAAGGAGACCTAGTAGAGCTGGTGGAATACAGAATAGCTTGTATTATTTAGTAAAATGTAAAAATGCTTGAATAATCGAATTATTAGCAGTAATATGTTAGGAACTCATTCAACGAACGTCATTGTTAGGTTGCGTTCGATGCCCAGTACAACAAAAACATAGAGTGAGGAACAAAAAACTGATCACATAACCAAGGAAGCGTATAAGTGACATGGAAATCAGGGTGCCACTGTTTTTCTTGAACGTTTGCGGACAAATCGAAAACACTGACGGTACTTACTAATAAAAACTGGCCCCCCACTCATCGACGCCGGTGATTGGAGTGGCTGGAGCGTTGTGCGACGCGGGAAGACACTGAAAACAATAATTAGCCCCCTTATTGCTGTCCCAATACTGGCAGCCCTTGCACTGGAACCGGCAGGCGAATTCTATGCGCTGTCCCACCGATAAGGTGTGCGCGTAAATGAGAAAAGTAAACTTATCGGAGAATCCGTCACAGGAGTTCTCCACGTAGACGGCCTGAACGTCGGCGAAGGTCTTCCACGAGTCCAGAGTGTACCGTATGTAGACGGACTTGTGGAAGTCTAGGTTCCTCACTCGAACCGTCCCCTTGATGGACAACATCAGCGGGTCTTCCACGAAGGCATTCTCGAGACAGACCTGGTTATCTCTGACCAGGTCCAGGAAGTTGGGTTGGCCGACGGGCTGCTGAAACAGCGGCATGAGTATTTTCTCCGCTTTGACGCCGTGGGTCATACTGTTCATCATGTTGGGCACTGAGGAGGCCTCGCCCAAGTCCACATCTTTAAGATCCTCGTACGCTGAATTTGGCACTTTAGGAATTTCGTCTAGAAACGTTCTCACGTCCGCCAGATCTAAGCCCAGGGCGTCGGCGAACCTCACGATTTTCTTCCTACCCGGTGTGTCGGGAGGGGTTTTGCCTGATTTTAGCGAGGAACACCTTCGGACGCGAGGTATCCTTTCCTCCTCTTCGGAATCGTCATCTTCTTCTTTGGCCACTTGGGCGTCGAGGATTTGGGTTTGAGACGCCGTCTCTACCGTACGAGGACATTCTACAATTAAGTCTTTGTCAACGCTTAAGCAACTAATGTATGTCTCTGTTTCCTCAACTAAGCATAGAACCTCATTCGCTTCGCCAATGTGATTCCCGCCATTCTCTTCACTGACTTCGTTGCATTTAGAATAATCCGCTCCAGTAACTTCACTGTCACTCTTAGGGAACTCCGTGAACGATTCGCTGGCCTCCAAGGACGGACAATCGCTGTCTTTAAGGCTTAACGTGGAAACGTCTTCGCTTAACGACGAACAAGGCTGCGGCGTGCAGTCTGAAGTCGTGGCGTACGATTCCTCCTCTTTGCTATTGGTGTCTTCCGAGCTGACACAGATTCCTGTCTCACTATCCAGACTTTTGCTGGACTCGGAGTTTGTGTCGCCATTTATACCGTTTGCTGTTCGATGTTCGTTGTCGTTTTCCGAGGTGTCGTAGAAGGGGCCATCGCTGTCGCTGTCGTTCGACGCTGACCTCAAATTTGTCGATAGTTTTTCTTTCTTTTCCTTAAGTTTGGGACAGTGGCATTCTTCGCTGCGAGACTGCTTCAGGTGGTCCTTGTTGATCAGCCTGTGGAGTTCTGACTCGTTCAGCTCTTCCTCCGGGCTTCCGGGCGATTCCAACAGGCCGAAGTCCAGGTATAGATCGCCGTCGGACGAGTGACGGGGTTGGGAGAGAGCGATGGAGTTCTCGTGAGCGGCTAACCAGCTGCTCTCGTCCGCACTGCCGTTTTCTTCGTGCGAGCCCAAGGATCGCAACCTGGAATGCAGCCTGCGGGCGAAGGCCTCCGCCCTTCCTCTGCAAGACATCGGGAACAGGGAGCTAAGGCCGCACTTCTGGCGTTCGGATGTCATCGAGTTGGGGATCTGAAATGAAAGGGAAAATTATTGTTTCAATATTGGTAGCGGTAGCGGTAGTGTTAGGAAAATATACATGTATATAGGGGATATGAGTCTAACAAATGTTCGGTCGCGATCGCTGGACGCAGGGGTGGTCCGATCGGGGTGATTTAGTGTCGTTGTGTAGGTTGGATCTTTCTGCGTCGAATAAAAGTCCAGGTATTCCAGAAGTACCAATGAGGAGAAAACTTCTAGACTTGCTATTTTCATAACTACTTAGAAAAACCAAAAATAAATTCAGAAATTTTTTCTTAGAAATTAGATTTTATAGTATAATTATGGAAAGTGAAAAAAATATATATTAGCGCAAGAAATAAATTTTTCTGAGACAGTACTTCCTAAAAAAATTGAAATTGCTATTAGAATACAAAAAAATTGCATAAACTTTAAAAGATTTTTGTGTACTACACTGAATGTAAAACAAATTAAACCAACTCTGAATCTTTTATGAACTCTGTCCTATAAATTATACAGCTAAAGCCTCGAGCAACAGTACAGTGTGAGTTTTGTATATCTCTATACAAGCAAAAATAATAAATAGGGCATTATTTACGATATTAACAAAATAATAAATACAAGTTATTTGTCAGCGTTTGTAAACAAACGCAATGTGAAAAAAAATCAGAAATAATTTGTAAAAATATGAAAGTACAGTAAAAGCAAGTGTTTTCAATAATTTTTTCCAAATTAAAGACGACACTTTTAGGTGTATAACGTTCGTTTTGATAACACAGATAAATATGTTTATACGTATTTTTTATGAAGTTTACAAAAAATTTATGATTTCCGTTTTATCTACAATGTTTGGTTTAAAAATAAAATTACATTCCTTCTAGAATTTTATGTAACCATTTCATGGAATAAACATCGAGTTTTGCGGTTTGGAAAGCAAATTTGATGAAACGCTTATATATGGATCTACAACTGTTGGGCAGGTCTATGACGTTCAAGATATTTGGATATAGCAAAGGAATTTTATATCGTAAATTAATTGGAGATATCTTTTCCACAGAACGTATATTCTTTTTATGTCACAGATAACCTGATTAAAAATTCAATTACATCTGCGAATTTAACCTATTTTATTTCTGCTGCCAATAAGATAATCGACATATGCACGTAGTCAAATATAACTGTGCTATTTGTAGAACTTTCAGTTTTATTCAATTCTGTTTTTTTCATTCATAAAAATGAAGCAATTTTTTTATCACTTGGTATATAAACATCAGACTTAAATGTACCTTTTACTTAAATAAACATATGCATGTACAAAAAGCAGGATAATAATAGAGATAAAATATATACGATTCCCCTTTTTGTGTACATTATATCAAGAAATTGGGAGGCGGCCAAATAATCCATGAAAATAGAAAGAGGAATACGTATATATATCCACCTATTTGTCTGTATTCTCGTCATATAAAAATTTAATAAAAAAGATAATATGGTATATCGGCGAATAAAAAAAAACGACGATGATTTCATATTAGCTACGACGCAATTGGCATATGGCAGACGATTTAGATTAACGAAAATTTACAGGCGTTCCAAAAACTAACCCACGTCACGTCTATATTCTAAATAAATGCTGAACGGTTTTACTGCCTGTGTTAAGGTATTTTAAACTTTAACGCGTTTTTATCTTAATGTAGAGATGATACAAAATGTAGTGTCTTCGATTTGTTTATTCACACCAGGGTTTTTTAATACCAGTTACAATGCATGCGTAAGAAATTCCAATAATCAGTATCGTTGAAATAAAAAATGTTAAAAAATATTGAGAATCTCTGGGATCTTCCCCGATCTACATACTGCATACACAACTACAACATATACAGTGAAAGATGAAGCAGACCAATTTAAAACTCCTATAGTGGACACCATCTGTCTAATTCGAATCATAAAAGACTGGTAAACGTTCTTATGTGACATTACCACCAGCAAGTCAACAGAGTTCAACAGCACGTTAATACGCAAAGTCAATGTTTATTATAGCAGTTAAATTTCGCAGTCACTTGCTTCGTCAATTACTTCTTGCACCTGTACAAGCAATCAATACCTAACACATTCAAATAGAAATATTGACAGGACATAAAATACAACAATGTTAACCGAAAGGTGTCCTTCGATATTTCGTATCTTCAGAAATTTCTATATGAGTACAACTACATTGAACTTGGAACTAAATAACCAGCATTCATTAAATATCTACTAAAATTTCTATGAAATATTCCATGATTATTTATTATCTTTGTTGATTTTCGTTCACTAACACCAAGCTTATCTTGGACTTTTTTCATGCATATTTCAATCCAATAATTACGTTCTACTAGTTCATTGTATTATTCTTTACAATGTTCCTAAATCCTGTTACTTGCAACTTGTAGAGAAAGCAAAATATCATCAACAGTCAGCATCATCAACAAATAGCATACTCAGCATTTGCAGCACCTCCCTGGCAAGGAACTCAAATAGAACATACAACCAACAATTCACAAACTTAAATATTTCTCTTTGAAATATTGAATATTGCTGTATAGATAATAGGAAATTCACTCGTAGTGATCTAGACACGGCATTCTCTCTTTTTAAAGCCATAAGAACAACAAGGACAGATACAATGTTTTTTATTAAAAAAAAATTAAAAAGACACAAATAGTCTTATCATTTATAACACATAATCATTTTGAATATTAAATGTTGGGCGCCAACTCACTTTCATCCTTCATTTTTAAAAATAGACGGCTGAATTTTTCCATCACAGCTTCAGTCTCCTCGCACTGAAGTTGCACTGGAATTTACACAACACTTTATAAATTAATTCCACACGACGCACCGTAACTTAATATATAAACAAATACCACCATTCAGTTCCAACTTTCCTTAGAATCGCAGGCTTATCATTTCAATAAACTAAGTGTCTACGTGTGGCAACGTAGCTTATATCTATGGGTATTATCTCCGGAACATTTTATACGGTTCTAGTAGGCTCTAGGTGCCGTCGTGTGTTCTGGGAACGCGTAAAAGGTTGCCGGATTTACAAATATTTACCTTTATTTACCACAATATTGATCTGATGGTCTTTAATGTCGACTGACGTACTTAGCGGACTTTTCTAAACATGCTAGAAACAAACCTTAATCAAATACACTGTTATGTTTAAAACTAAAGCAGGTTCCTTTGGCATGATATTTAATTGCATCCTATTAAAATTCTACACGGACTGTCTAATGATTAAGCATTGGAAAATAAACAGTAGTAATTTATAGGCTAAATCTGTAGTCAAGCTGTGTGCCGCTCGATGCTCACGATGCACAATGCTACTGACTGCCATAAAAACACGTGCCATACGTTAAACTAGGGTGCCGCTAGATACGCATCGAATAAATTGATCGATGCGAAGTTACAGATCAGAGGCAGACATGTACAAATGTGAAAATATACGTCGTACCCTGTACCGCCCTAAAATTTCCGATCTCTACTAATGAAATAGATAAATATTAACACAAATTTGATCCTCACTTTTAGTTTACATTCAGAAAGCTATCTGTGTTATAAAAATAAACCTTAGAGATTGTTTAAAGTCAAGCGTGACAGTTTGTATATTTGTTTATCTACCTCTAGAGAAGTACAAATATCACACAATATTTACTGTTTTTAACAATATCACTGTGTTTGACTTGAACCAATATGCTCTTCACATTGAAAATATCTATTCTGCCGATAATTTTGTGGGAAGATATTTTTCGAATTGCAGTTTTTTACTATTATTTTTTGCTGGTTCACTCGGTATATGCAAACTTACCACGCCGCTATCGCGTGACAAATAACATAAGCCATTATTTCACTGAAAGACAAGATATTTATAACTATAAGGTTTAATAGCTGATTAGAACAACCAGTTGCAGATATTTAAAATTTGCCTTGATTTATATCGGGTCATTCAACTCCTCGTAATGTATTCACAACAACATGTAATTTGTATAAATTAATTAGATACGGATAACGTTTAGCAATGTTACAGAAATACGTCAATAGTAAAAAAAAATAGTATAGTACCTATCTTTGTTAATTATGTTAACATTAAAAGTTAATTTCACAAAAAAAAAATGAAAAATTATCTACAAAGTTGTTCCTTACAACAAATATTTTCAATTTCAACTTTCTGATATTGTTAAATATGATCTGTTATTTTTTAAATATTAACTGTGGTACTGTTTATTCTAATGTTTCTCAATACACGTCAACTTAATTTTAGTCTATTTATATCGTTATTTAATGGCTTTATGGTAATGTTTATTGATAATAGCAACGAATTATGCAAAACAACTACCACTTTTGGTTCACATTTATTTTTTTACTAAATTAATAGAAATTACCTAGGCAGACAGAGAACAATAATAATTGATGAGGTTATGCTCAACGTAATACTGCCAATATCTCTATTATCGCATAATTCAAAAAGTTCTGTTATTTTTTTTAACAGACCTGGTATTAAAAAAGCTCCCATAACAACAACGACCTTACAAAACTATTAAAGAAACATTTTTTATTATTTCTTGTATATTCAGCACATTCTTTTTGCATGTTTTTATTTTACTTTTGTATTTGTTTTCTTTCACATAAAACAAACAGACGAACTCTAGAGTTATAGAATTTGTTTAGAGAGTGACATATTTAGAGTTACCATCCTCAAATGAATAGACATTTAATGCTCTAAATTGGCTAATAAAAAATGTCATGATAAATAAAATTTGAGGTAACTTGGGTAAACAAAATAAATCGATCACTATTCACAATTTTTCTAGAATGTTATTCATACAAATACTTCGTCGGGTATTTAAAGAGATTTATCATGCACTGCAGATTATAAATAAGGTTTAATTTAATTCATTATCTATATACGTTGATATAAAAACGTCGGTTTTTTATCTTATTTAATTAGTTCTGGCATAAAAAAAATGTTA